TTCGATATTTTTGTGTGTTTTATATTGTGTTTTCTGTCTCTAACTCACCTTAAAACCAAATTGTCCCCACAAAAACTCCACAATTGCGATCATCATCAAAAAGTGAAAAGCCCTTTAAGGGCTTTTATTTCTTTATCTTTAATCTATCTGCTTGGCATCCATAGATGCTGTACACGGTTGTCAAAGAATATTCCTCTATGCTTTTTCATTCTACGAGCATCAAGGATGCAATAACACAAATTGGATGGCATGCCTAACCGCAAGCTATGGTGCTTCAGAGTGAGAGGAAGAATGAGTAAAACATCCTTCCATTTATTCTTTTTAGTATACGTCCGGAAGTTTACAATTCAAACGGATTGTGAAATAAGTCTAAAGATTGAACAATTTAAAATTTGATTGTCGGGTTACTATTCACTAGTAAATTTATATTTTTGGTCAAACCTTGAAAATTCATAATTAATTATAGAAAAATCGTATTGAGATGATCCAAGCTTTATTTAAAGTTCTTTCAATTCTCTACAAGGAAAAAAATCAAATATGAACTTAACCTTTGTTAATTAGCACAGTTAATTCATAGAAGTTTACTATTTATTTGGTAAAAACTATACTTTCTGGTTTCTCTGTTCTAACTTTAAACAGGCATAACTTTTAGCACATATATTTATTTTAAGTGATCTAGCACTTTTTTTAAAACTTAGGATGTGTGCTTTAAGCATATTAAATTTCATGGACAGATTCCATCGTTTAACTTACTTCCACTTTTTCACAACTTCGTGGTTTATTTAGGGATAAATTATCCCCCTAACTTGTTTTAATAATATATTATATAATTAATTCTTTTCATGCATATCATGATTACATCAATGTAATAACCATTCTCATACATTATCATAGCCAATATATATGCCATTATTATTCTTACACTTTACATAATATTAATGGCATATGTGAACATTGATCATCATATTAAATTATCACAATAACTTATTCAATTCTTCAATTCTTCCCTTCATTCTTGCATTTTCACATATTGTATTATTCTCCCATACTCTTTGTACCTATTAGGGTTGATTAAGAGAGGGTCAGATAACTACCTAAACATGCATGACAAGCTTGACATTCATAACATGCTTGCTATATGTTTGGAAATCGTCATGCATTTATCATAAAACATATAGGCCTATGGTATACTTTAAGCATATTCACATTCACAATACATGAGTTCATAAAATCACATAAACATACATACATGCCATACCTGTAAGCAAATACCAAGCACATAGGAGTAGAGTAAAGTTTGCTAACTTTAGCCTTTTTATATTCAATATTTCCTCTTGCTTCTTTTGCTTCCAACCACCAAGGTTGCTTAATCAACATTTCCCATTCATTTTTCTTGATGTTACATGGCCTTAATAAAATTAGCACATTATTGTCATTTATTTATTAGAGCCATGAAATCAATAACATTCATACTTTACTCTTTAATATACTTTAACATCTAACTTTTGAGCTTTAATTTCAATCTTTCTAAAATTAATTCCACACGCTATTTTTTTAATAATTTTGCATTTAGAATCTATTTTTAAGCTCAAATTAAACAAAATCCAACTCTTTCCCCATAAACTATACTTGGGCGAACATTGTTGGGTCTTAGAAAAAAAATTCTATTTTCAATTCCAATGCTTCTAAATATACTTTCTCACATTTACCCCACACAATTTTTCATTTCAAATACATTAGAAGCATCAAAATTATGCAAATCTAATCCTATAAAGAACCTTGGTTTGGCCGAAATACTATAGTACATAAGGGGAAGTTGGATTCTTCTCAATTTCATCACAAAATCACTTGATTACAACTCCTTTCTTCGTCTTAATCATTAATCTATCATCAAACAATCTTTCACAAGGTTTAAATATAATTGGACAGCATCTCAACTTAGGGTTTCAAGCTTTCAAAATCCATCAAAACCATGCCTAAGCCCAACAAGATAAATGGCAAGATAAACTACATCAAAAACCATAGTCATGCCTTGTCTTGAAACTTGATCTTGCATGATTTGTCTTGATCTTCTTCTTCCTCTTTTCTTCCTTCAAAATTTTGGCCTCCCTTCCTCTTCTCTTGTGTGGGCCGAAAATTTTGGCGATGTAGGAGGGGATGGGGTATTTATAATGCAAAAGTTACCATTTATTTTGATTAATCTAATTTATCTTACCATAACACATATCATTTGTTTAAACCACGTCATGTAAATCCTTTAGGTGTCTTGATCATATTTTCCTTCTTCAAGATCATGCCACATGCAAGCCACCTAATCACACATGTGGTAAAACATAATATTATATTAAATAATTCTATTGCTTCTAAACATGCCCCTTAACAATTTGCATTATTTCATCCATGTCTCCTCTTCAAATTTGCATTAAAATAGGGAGAACTTTGTGCTCCCCTTTACCCTTGACTATTCCTCCTATTTTACAATTTTATATTGTATCATATACTTTTTCGGGTCCTGACTTATTTGGTAAGCCTGAGATATGTTTTGGCACCTTTTTCTCATCTCAAATAACCTAACATGACATTAGATAACATGCATACGGGAAAGGGACGCTCTTCCCTTTATTCTTTCATTAAAACATTTAAATAATATTTATTTCAAAGTAAACTTGACTGAATTCTTTCTATCGGTCCATGACTCTAAGAATTTGTTTCGGAGTATCAATACTACCTTTTTATCATGAGAAATTTCTTTAATTTTTTTATGTTAAAAGTCAACTCATAAACAATTTATTTTGACTTTCCTGGATAATATATAAATAGGCTTTAAATTCTAATAAAGCCAACTTCTTCACTTTCTAGGGACAAAATCATTTTCAAAACATGTAATAATTACTCAAGCATATATTTCCTATTTTTTTCAATTATCTGAGGCCTCCTCATATTTTGAATAATTCAGTTTCGACTAATATTTATAATTATCCAAAATCTTGAGAATTTCATGAATTTGCTCTAAGAGTATTTTTGTCATTTTTAGCCTTATACGGGCCACATAACCTCATTTTCTATTTTTTTTTTTAGAATTTTCTGAAATTTTTTGGCCTACTTTCCAGCTTGAAACATTCTGAATTTAAAATTAGATTCCTTCTCGAGTTTAGTCTCAAGAATCATCTCACTGACGCTCTCAACACCACCTTTGGCTCTTAATTATCTCCAATTCTCATATTCGAATCTTTAAGACTTCATCAGAGTCCATAACTTACTTGTCTCGTAGTTCTAGAAAACTTTTTGTGATTTAGCCCTTAGGAATTTTTTCATCCTTCTAGGACACTTCTAAAACTCCTATAAAAAAAAGTCTAGTAGCCTATCCATTTCAAGCTAATTTTAATACTTTTAGGCCTAAAATTCGAATATTACAATGAGTAAGGAGAATGACAAAGAGAGAGACAAAAAGGAAAGAGAAATAGACGGAATGATTGTAGAAAGAGAAGAATGACATTTTGGTCTTTTAGGCAACATTTCATAATTTCTAGTTAAGATCTGGTCTCTTCAAGCAATTTTCTTTATTGAAGTGCTCATTTTGGTATTTCAGGGGTTTTTTAATGCGATTTTTTTTTTTTGGGAAATAAATATTGGATATCTGCAATCAAAATAGATTACAAAAAACAAACTAAACGTTAGCTTCCCTAGTCAAAAGTCAAAACTCCACCTCCTAACCGGGTTGAATTTAGCAGAAGAGCCTCATCTCTAATAACATGATGAATCAAGGGTTGAATCCTCACTATGAGAGGTTTTCACATTTAATGTCTTATAGTTTTTCGAACAAGATTGCTTTTATTAGGATGATACATATGCTTAACCGGGAAAAAAAAAAATTCACCTCTTTCTTAACATGTAGAAATTAATTAAGGATATAAAACAGAATGATTTATGCTAGCAAAAAATTACCATGTAGTCCCATACAAGTAATTTAATCAGTAAGAAATTTTAACCTTGTCAGTATGCCATATGTTGTTATTTCCACACCAAAGTTTGTTATTACATGCTATTCATTTGTTATCAAATTACTTATGTCAGATTACACAGTGATTTTTCCTTTATGTTATTATTTTTCATTATTAATATTACATAAAAAGGAAGTATTACAATTTTAAGGAATTAAATTGAATCCTAAAGAAATCAAAAAACTGAATCCGAAGAATTATAGGAAGACGATGGTTCTCAAGGAAAAAATTATTTGTTGTAATGTTTATATTATAAATAAATTTAAATTTAAATTTATGAATAAAATGATTTTGTTATAAATTATTGTCTTATATTAATATTGATGAATTTTAAAAGTTGAACATAAATTCCTCTATTTCTAAATATTTTAAACTCAAGCTATTCAAGTGAAATTTATCTTTTAAAAGTTAAATTCGCATTGTAATTTTAGTTGAAAGTTCATTTCTGTAACTCCCGTCAATTCTAATATAATGTTTTAACTCTTATCATGAATCTTACTTGCATTATTTATTTAAACTTAATTAGATTAATTGACTTTACTTTTAATATCTCATCCATTTTACAATTTTATTTGATTTTGATTAATTTTACCTTATATCCCCCTTACAATCGTTAATCTTTTTTGCTATTAATGAATAATCTATAATATAAAATAAATCATTTGCCAGCTTAACAAAAATTGAATAAAATGACGGAAAGGAATGAAAATCAAATCAAATTAAACAATCAAGTTAAGAGATCAAGTTCAAATTAAGTAAAATTTTAAGATAAAAGTGAAACTTTCAAGTTTGAAAAAAAAGACAAATGTGAAATAAAGCAAAGAGGGGATTTAATTGAAACTGAAATAAAGGGAAGGGGCGAAAATAAAACGGAGGAGCCAAAAATACGTTTTAAAACTTACAAATTTAAGGGGGGCATTGATACAAAAACTAACATATAAATCATGGGCCAATTCCCTAATCTCTCAGCCTCCAAAATTGTAATCCCCCATACATGAATTTCAGCAAAACAGGCCCTCTCCGTTCACAATAATCCTGGTTTCTTCTCTAATTTCATAGTAAGGATGATCAGCCATATTTTCTCTAGTTAACAAATTCAAAACTTGAACACTATCAGTGAGGAAAAGAAAACTATACAGTTACCATAAGCTTAATGTATATATCTGTCACAAGATTCCAAATTGCTTCATGTCACTATTCTCCTCCCATACCCTAGCCCTCAAGAAGAAAATTGTTGGACTAAAGTATATATTAAAATAAACATCAAAACTAGATATTGTGGGGAAGACTATGTAGAAGCATCTTCAAGATAACTCACCTAAGTCTTGAGAGGCTTAACCTTCGGTTTCAAGCTCAGATGTTGGTATCAAGAAAAATCTTCAAGATGGTGACTTTTGTAAGCCAGTAATAAAGTCTCTGCTTTATATCTGAACTTCAAAATATACTTCTTCAAGAACATATCCTCACGCATTTCTAACATTTCAACGAAACTTGGATTCTTCTTAAGTAAATTTTCAGAGATTAACAGCTGCAAAATTCTGTACCGAGGAATCACCCTATCTTCCATGCTATACATCAAAATCATAGGTCTTTGAACAAGCACCGACTTAGGTAGCATAACTGCATTCAAGAAGAATTCAAATCCAAACTTTAGTTTCTCCTCAGCTGATCGAAGCAAAAATGGAGCTCTTCTGAGCATTTGTGAGCTCTCATCTTTGGAAAACCCATAACTCTGAATTAAACTCACCCTTCTTTCAAAAGCTTCAGCAGTCAAACCATGGACAACAAGGATTGCGTGCACTAACATTCTTGAATTTACATGGAAACCGAGGTCTGCAGCCCGTGAAACAAGGTTTTGAAGCAGAGACTCCGGTTTGGTGAAAAGCAGAGATTGTCTTTCGAATAGATATAAAAGCTGAGACCCAACGATCCCACAACTCTGAAAGAAGGCAACACTGCGCAAAATTTTTTTGTGACTTAGAAGTACCCGGCCAGTTCTGTGCAACAGTCTAACAAGATCTTTCTCATTGCAAGCAATTTTCCTAACAGTCTCCACAGAGGGGGCCAAGGTTTTATTCAAACTCGAAATCAAAAGAGTTGAATTCTTGGATAGGAACTTTCCCAGCTCAGAAACAGCAAAGCCCAGTTGATGAAAGTACTCAACTTTTGGCTCCAGGGTTTTATCAATATCAGAAAATAGTATTTGGGGTGTTCGACATACCATAGATTGAATATGGGCTTCAGTAAATCCAATCTTTTGAAAATAATTCAGCACGATGAAGGGTTGTTGAGGGCGCCTAGCATGAAAAACTCGTTCTGAGATATAGCTGGACTGAGTTTTTGAGAATTTGAAGTTTGAACTTAGGTAATCAAGTACAAGAATGCGTTCCTTTGAGGATTTAGTTGAAGAGACAGTAGAGAGCAGAGGAAGAAAGGTTCTGGAAGTAATAGAGGACAAATTATCCAGAGAATGTGAAAGAGTGGAGTATAATTTAAGAAATAGCATTGCTCCACTAGAATGTGTAAAAATCATTTGCACTAGACATGTATAAGAACACACACCCAGACTAATAAATGAAAAGAGTGGAGTAAAATTTAAGAAATAGCATTGCTCCACTAGAATGTGTAAAAATCATTTGCACTAGACATATATAAGAACACACACCTAGACTAATAAATGAAACTTCTATGTGTGTTCCCTTTTCCAGAATGGCTGCCAAGGAAACCACCTCATTAGTTGCCACTAAAGCTGTCCATGAATAGAGTCATTGATGGTATTAACTAATTCTTAATGTCTTCTTATGTGATGTTTCTTGTGACTTATCAATTGCCACTGTCTCCTGCAAGACGTTCAAGTCAACAGAAAAGTTAATATGATAAACTAGCAAGAATTATTACAATATCCAAAACAACATTTTTAAGTGCAAGATCAGACATTTTAAACTACCTTCAAAATTTCAAAAGCCAACAAATCCCTATAACGGTTCTATAGTTAAACTGCATCTAGTGAAGGAAAAAGCCTAGCAGACAATTCGTGTGATTTACAAAATATCCTGTGGCTAAGGCATAGCATAAGTTACTAATAGGATAGAATAAGAAAAGAGAAGATAGAAGAGGTTTCAGGAAAGAGGAGAGGCAGAGATTAGGAGAGGAGAACTAGAGAGAAAGAGGTGAGAGAGAGAGAGAAAGTCGAGAGAAGGCAAAGATCATATCTGAAGAGTGCACTATTATTCCTGAGTAATCAAAATCTGTACAATTGGGTACCCTTTCATGTCTATTTATAGGCCTAGCTAACAGAAACTAACGGCAACTAAATTATCCTCTTTAACGGCCAGTGGCCGTTACCTACCTTAATATTTAAAAAATAATCATAATAACACATCAGTTACTTAATGAGACCATTTTTAGTATGCCCAGAAAAAACAGAAATCATATCGTATCATAAATTCATAATAAACTAACAAACCTCAACCATGTAGAGAAAAGTTGTCAAAGAATACACAGATCAGATCAACAACTCTGAATCAAATAAACCGAGTCATTGCAGGATCATCATAAGACGAGATGTTGCATTTGCATCCAATGTATTGGTATTATAGAACCAAATGAATCGAAGTCTGTTTAATAGCAAGACAGCCACACAGTAAGGATATACAAGGTACCAACAATGCAAAATACCAATTTGGAGAGGAGACCGGAAAAGAGAAATGTGATCTGAATAATACTCAGGATATATTACAGTTGCATTCCCTTGTATAGGCAATTTTTACTAACGGCTCATCAACAACCATAACTAACTACCTCTTAACCCACTACCATAACTTACTACTAACAGACAAATTCCCGTCTATTATTATTAATACATCACATCCAGTTCACCAGGAAACAATAATGAAAAGCGCCCACTAATTCAACTCAACCAATTCAACAAGAAACATAACAGAACTAATGCAAGACCAAACCAAGACTAATAACGCAAAACAAACAGAGCATATACAGAATCAAGTTGAAGAATCATAACAAGTAACAAAGCAACCCAACAGAGTATATATAACAATGGCAGAGCATCTGGTTCAGTTAATGCAAAATGCAAAGTTTCCTGCAGATACGGATTGATTAAACTCGCTAATGGCTAGTAGCATAGGTTGACCTATATCACACTCAGTGGGGACAGATTCCCCCACTGAAATCTTTGAAATGTGCATATTTAGTAAGCCCATTGATTCAGATATAATACCTTTAAATTTGTGCTCCAAACACTTTGACGAATGGCCAAGATGACTTGGTAAGCCTATTGATTCTGCAAACTCCTCCAAGCCACCGAAGAATTGCAATTTTAAATTCAAGCTTCTAAGTTGTCAAATACAACTTGCGCCAAGTCATTCATCAGATCAAGCATCACAAATACCTTGAGAAAGATTAATAGACAGAATGACAATACAAAACAAATCAAACATTGTAAAACAACACAATCCAAAGCATATAAGTCGCCAGTAATAATACTGAAGAGGGCAGAAGTATAATAGCCAATTACACACCATCCAAGAAAAAATTAGTAATCAAAGGGGGAAAAAAACTCAATTCACACCAAAAAAAACACTCAATCAGTAAACATTCCCGAAGTCAGAGGTGTCATGATTTAAATAGTTACACAGCCAAATTCAAAGCAAGAAACGGCGCGACGGCGTCCGACACAAGGTTGACACCCATGCAGGTAACAGATGACGCGGGGAACAAATTCAAATCTAGATTCAAAGCTAGATTGAACAAATCAATCTCACCGGATTTTGCGAGTAGACAAGGACCTAGGGTTCGAGCTTTCTTCAATGCTTGCGCAAGCGCAACCACACAGCGCTGAAGAAGGTGAACGGCGTCCGACGGCGAGCTCGACCCAGTGTGGAATGCTCGTTCGTCGACAAAGAAAAACGGATCCGCTGCGCGGGATTGTGTTTTCGCGGGGTTATAAGTAATTTGGTCAAGGAGATTTGAGTCCGGCCCTAAGTTTATATATTTAACCACTAACAGGCGAACATTGTCAATTTTAAAATACTCCTCGGATTGTTAATGTAAATATAAAATCTAATTATTGAGTTGATTTTAATCCTAAATATAAGATCTATTTATTATATTTATCAATCTTTTCTAAATTATCCTTGCATCAAACTCTCCCTGCTTAGGGATAGAGCATATTACCTCTTATCCAACCTATTCCATACCAGCCCAAAATACCTTTCCTCAATTATGATTAAGTAAGAAAGGGAGGAAGGATATTTAAAAAGATAATTATGGTATTTTCGGAAAAACATGTCATATTTTTTATAATTAACTAACTTACCTAATTTCCTTAATCTAATCAAATTAGTTAAATAGGTCATATATTAGGAACCGGAAGAGTAAAAGTAGTTGAAAATTGTGAAATCCAAGTATTTCAATTCATATAATCCCAACCAAAGTACCAACCCCAAATAAGGATTATGAAATTCAAGCAAACTTACAAATATAGTCCAATTTGTTAAAAAAAAAAAAGAGTAAACATTATAATGGGATAGTGCAGTGTCTAGGATCATCACTGGGCAGCAAGTTTTAGTTGTGTTATAAAGCAAAAGAAATGTTAACTCTTTATTTTGATCAGAGGTCTTTAATAATATTTTACTAGGAAATAACAAATTTTGAAGGTAAAATAACGAGTCTCGAATTGCAATTAACGATACTTTATTTTTGTAATCCATAACATAAGAAATAGAATAGTAATTGATTTAGGAAAGACTTTTTTTTTTTTCACAATTTGCCTGAAAATAACGAGTTATAAATGTAAACTAACGAGTTTAAAATAGAGATTACTTGTAACATCTTATCCTTGTACCTAATAATGCATCAAACGAAAGTATTTGGAACCATATTTGTTGGTCACAAAATTAGAAAATTAAGTTTTCAAAAAAAAATTTCTCAGGTTACTATTTATAACAACCATTAAAATTTTAGCCAACTTCAAAAATCATAACTAATTGTAAAAAAAATTAAAATACAGTAGTTTTAAGTTCTATTTGAAACTCTATTAATTATCTACATGAAAAAAATATTCATTGGTCTCATTACCTCACCATTAAAGTTCAATTTTAAACCAAAATAGTACTGCTTATTTGGTTAATTTTCCAGTTTTTAGATTTTTGCCTTAAATTTAAAAATCCATAACTTTTCGTGTATGGCTCCAAATTAGGTGATCTACTAATCTATTCGAAGCTTAGATGAGCACTATTAGCCTACGAAATCTCATGGCCAGATCCATTCATTTACATAAATTCACGTGCTCACCAAGTTGGCCCCCTTTTTAGCCATTTTTCTATCCTCTTTTAATGTTCTTTCTTGGCTTTTCTTTTACTTTCTAGCCATACCCCATGCGTAACGGCATACAAACATATCTTTAAGTATAATATACTTCAATGTACATTCAAGAGCTCATATATTCATACATGTTCATAGTCATTACAAATTTACATATTCAAAACATAAGCTCATGAATTCATAACATTTCAAGGTAGTCGTCATTGCATCTTCCTTTTGTTACCTTTGTCTCTTGAATTTTTAGCCCCTAGATGGTATAATTTAAACATGCAAGGGGTGGGATTTTAGAGGAAATCTTAATAGCAATGAATTACAAGAATTATACTAAACACGCAATGCTATCTCCTGCTATACAATTATGCATATCTCATGTTTGTTTATTATTATGCACATTTCTTGCATAACCATTATCAAGGTCATGCCATAGAAAGGGAGTATGCTATCATACCACTCTACAACTCAACTATGATATTGCCAAGGCATCAAATGCAAGGAGTTCAATACAACATATCATATCAAGCTCAACCACGTCATGGCAGACACACATATAGCACGTAACAACAAAGCATGCTGTTATTGATTTAATCCCTTCTACATTGTTGTTAGAGTTGTTATTGATTCAACATGCTTGTCATATCTTCATCGTTAAAATCCATGTATATGCCAGCTTCTATGTACACATCATCAATATAATAGACTTAGTGCCAACTCAGATTATTTTGACAGCCTAAAGCTACCAAGGATTAACGGCCAGAAATGGATACAATTTGAGGGACTAATACCATGAGTTTTAAATTTCAGGGACTAATACCAAAATTGGCCCAAATTTGAAGGATCAAAATTTATATTAACCCTAAGGATAAGAATAAAATTATTGATTTAGCATGCTTGTCATATCTTCATCGTTAAAGGTTAAACTTTAATTTCAAGTCTTGAACTTTCATACCTCTGTTATATAAATTTTTGACAGGTTGAAATTGAATCAAGTTAAATTGCAGTTTAAATTTGATGGTGTCATAGAAGATTAAATTGAATAAAATTAGTAATGGTAGCTTTTATTGATATTTAGATTAAGTCTTGATAACTCAACATTTTCTTTACACTTTTATTGCTTGTTCGAAAACAAGCTAAATTTTGTATATTCTTGTAGGATATGTCAGTACTTAAGGGAGGACGAGGTGGGAGAGCTCCTTCATTTTTTAGACGGCATGGTGACGGAAGTAGTGAAGGTATTTGTCCTACTCCTTCAATAGAGCAAACATGACCTACCAGTTCTTCTGTACCACTGCAAGTACAGCTTGAGGAACTCCCTATTGACTCTCCTCCTACTCCAAATAGTAGTGCAAGTAAATTTTGCTCCAATTTTGTATAATACAAATATTTAATCCATATCACATGTAACATTAATTGATACAATTCTTTTAATAAATGACAGGCTCTTCTTCTACAATCAGGAAAGGCAGAGGAGTTTACAAGTCAATTAATATAGGCTTGAGAACCAAACTTGGAGCAAAGATTCTAGTTAAAATTACAAAAGACATAACAAGAGCAGTAGGATCAGAAGCAAGAAATCTATCTAACTATTGTGGTTTGATTGTTAGAACCACAGTATGTTTTCGACATTGTGTTGAGTGGAAGGACGTGTACAAAAAGTATGGTACTGAGATGACCTTAAAAGTGAAGGTACTATTTATTTCAAACAATTATATTTATGTTTTTTTGTTTATGTTTTTATAACAAGTGATTGTGCTTATGTTTGTTTCAGGAAAAATTTGAACCTGCTGTTGCAGCTGATGAAGAAAAGTTTCTGAAAGCTGTAACAACTACTTTCCAAAATGCTTTCAAAAATGGGAAGACTAGCTTGCACAACCAATACAAGAAATATGACACTGATGAAAAAAGGTTAGTTAATCCACCTCAAATGTTAGTTCTAAAGATTGGGAGTGGTTATTGACATACTTTCAGTCTAACATTTTTAAGGTATCTTACTAACCTTTCAATTCGATCATATTATTATTGCATTTATTAAATCTGCATTACTTACCCAAATTTGTTATAGAATAAGAGTGCAAGAAAGACACAAAATCGAGAAAAACAAGTTACAAAGCACACTTGTGGTCCTTGTTCATTTGCAAAAATGAAATACGCTGTAGTAAGTTTAATTTCCCATTTGTTTTAACTTATTTTTATATCATTTGTTATCTTTGGATGTGCTATTTCTTGTCTTTGTATATTATCCTTTGTAGAGAGACCCCACAACTGGATAGCCTACACCCCTGATCTGGTATGGGAGTTAACACGTACTAGAAAGACTGCAGATGGACAGTTAGTGTGGGTGGATCCACAATTTGAACAGATTTACGTATGCATTATATTTTTATGTTTCTAGGTTCACTTGATGAATTCATTTTTATTTTGTTAATTTTATGCCTTAATTGTAGGCTCACATGAAAGAAGTCATTTAACAAGAATTAGAGAGTGATGCTTGAATGACCTCTGATGAAATATTAACTACTGTTCTTGGTGAGAGGTCAGGATATGTAAGAGGAAAAGGCTACAGAGCTGAGCCTCCTAAGAAGAGAGCTAACACTCAATCTAGTCAAAATTCAATTGACAATGTGCGCACTCAATTGCAAGAAGAGTTTGATAGAAGAATTCAAGAGGAGCAAGGAAAAATGGAAGCAAATCTTGCAGCAAAGCGGGAAAAGATAGAAGCAAGTATTGCATTAGAGCTTGCAAAGATGGAAGAAGAACGTACACAACTTGAGCAAAGAATAGAGCAAAGAATGCAAGCTCAGCTTAGTGCTTTCATGCAAAAATTGCAAACAAATGCTCTTACATCTACCTCTACATCTACTCCTAGTTCTAGTGTCCCACGTACTGGTTGTTCATCATAGTTTTTGGGGTCCATTTATAAAATGTCTCTTATAGAGAACAATTTCTTTTTTTTTTTTTCTAAAGAGACTGAAATGCTTTGGTAGTTTTAAAGAATGTTATGAATATTATTACCTAGTATATTATAATTGCCTATTACTTTAATTTTTCAGTGCTTTATTATTATATTTATTAGGAATATAGGTTTTCATTTGATTTAACAATTTTTTTGACAAAAAAAAATAATTTTGATCTTCAGCGGCAACATTAATTGTCACTGCAGATTGCACTTTCTGTGGTGACCATTTGTCGCCACTTATATAGTTTTCAGCAACAACAATGACGTTGCCATAGATAATTCTTTTAGTGGCGACAATGTATGTCGCCATAGATTATGCTTTCAACGGTGACAAGTAGTCGCCACCTATACAGTTTTCAGTGACAACAAATTTGTTGCCGCAGATTATTCTTTTAGCGGTGACATTTTCTCCAAAGTTGGCCTCACTTTTAGTGGCAACTGTTTGTCGCCGCTAAATGTCTACTTTTAGTGGCAACTCAAAAATGTCACCGCCAATACTTTCAGTCATGGTCACTAAAGCGGTGAATTTTTGGTCGCCATTGAAAACTTTCAGTGGCGACTTTGAGGCTTTCAGCGGCAATTTTTCTCGCCGCTGAAAGTCAATTTTTTTTGTAGTGACTTCAACTGATCAAAACACAAGCTCT